GAGTTGAAACGTGACTGTGTTTGGTTGTCAATACACGTAGAATCATTAGCAAAGACAGCGGTGGATTGTTGAAATCGCAGACCGACCAAAGTTCGCAAAAACCCTCTATCGCAACTACCGAAACACTAGCATTCCACATAGATGGGTGGAAATTGCAGACGACGTTCAATAGAGAATATCACGCGAATCGAACCTGAAGAAATATGCCTTGGGCTGGATCCATGTATGTTCCCCTTCAGTACAACACTTGGGTCAGCAAACATTACACAAAAGATCCCCCGGTCGGCACCTAACAGAGATTTAGCTGGTTCATACACTAGCCGCCGTATACCTCGATTAACATCGTAACCTAGTCACTTGGCCTGTCGAAGTTTTCGTACCAAAAGTGAAACGCTGCCCAGCAATAAGTCTGACGATTGTTATCTAATCATTCAGGGTATCAATCTACCGGTTTTCATGAAGTTCGCGCGGTTATTTCGGATTGCCCTGAGTTCATCGGTCACGTTTCTAAGAAATCCCAGGGCCTGGAGTGTAAGTGGACAGATTTTCGTCATTGTTAACATTGTTTTTCACGCATATAACAATGTGAAAGTCCACGACCATGCGGTCCGTGAGGCTAACTGGTTTTCGGTGGAAAACGGATCCATTCATGTTCGGCGAGAACGTAGTGAATGGTGGAACGGAATGCATCAGCGCTTCGGTTTGTTTCATAAACAACGTGTTACCACTATTTTACCAGCGCACGTTGGACGCATCTGAATTCTCACGTCCGAACGGGCGGACGTGTTAACGCTTCAACGATGGGATTGGTATGGCCGACGCATCATCGATCTGACGGCCCAGTAGTTTTCTTGGTTTTGACGATCGATAGGCCCGCCTGCGCGGAACTTCGAATCACTTGGCGGCCCTAATGTCAGGGGCTCGGATTTGAAACCCCGACACTTCAATATATATGCACCGTTGATGAGCTATAATAAGGGAGAAACTTGAGTCCGTTGCTTCTCATCCCTCTGGTGTGGAATCATCAGAATAATTATGCCAGGACAGGAGGACGACTGTCTAAAAGAGAGCGATATGAATGTGACCCCAAGAGGGTCTTTGGTGGGCCACTAGGAAGGCGTCGAAAATGTCACCCATTGGATGTGACCTTTCGGATATGATGAGATTGATGAGGTTGGCTCCCATCGGACGAGAGCCTAGTTTTGGAAAGATTTCTGCCCTGAGTCACAAGGCTAGCCTCAACTATCCGCGGCCCGTTTTCTTTGTAGTTGGTCGAAAAGAGGGGACGTGAAGCATCGGTTCCGAGTACGTAGATAGTTTGCGCCTAATTCCGGATGAATTCCAATTTCTTGCAATCATCCTGGCAGCTCATCTCATTGTTTGGATCCTTCAGCAAAGGTAATCCATAAAGACATAAATTTTGTCTTGTTCGAGTCACTAGGTGGATGCATCAACGCTCTGCCGA